TGAGTCCCTAACATAAGATGGATGGTATCTGCATATAATCTACACGATTCTTCCCACACACTTTATTCTACCTATCTATCTATCTATCTATCTAATTTGGGGCCTAGTATTGAACTCAGAGCCTGGTCACTGTTTTTTAGCTTTTATACTCAAGGCTGGCATTCTACCACTTGAACCACAACTCCACATCTGGTTTTTTGCTGGTTAATTGGAGATAAAAGTCTCATGGAAGCTGGGTACCAGTGGCTCATACCTGTAATCCGAGCTATTCAAGAGGCTGAGATCTGAGGTTCACAGTTCAAAGCCAACCTGGGCAGGAAAGTTCCTGAGAGTCTTATCTCCAATAAACCACCAGAAAACTGGAAGTGGTGCTGTGGCTTAAGTGGTAGTGTGCTTGCCTTGAACTGAAGACCTCAGGGACAGTGCCCAGGCCAAGTTCAAGCCCCATGACTGACAAAAAAAAAAAAAAAAAAGTCTCATGGACTCTCAGGCTCTCAATCCTCAGATCTCAGCCTCCAGAGTAGCTAGGATTTGTAACTATGAGCCATGGGTGCCCAGCCCTCCTAAATCCTTCAAATCATCTCTGTACTTACTTTTTAGACTTATGACAATGCAAATGCTATGTAAATAGTTGCTGTACCACCTAGTTTAGGAAATGATGAGAAAATCTGTGTATGCATGTTAAATACAATGCAGGGGTTTTTTGCAAATCTTTTCCATTCTTGGCTGGACAGCTCAATAGGTTCATAATCCACAGATGAGGAACCCACAGAGACAGCTTGATGCCTTCTGGGTGCCTCCTTTGCTATGTTCCTGGAAGACAGGATCAACGTTAGTTAACTTAGCAGCCACAATGCCTAACAGCTCACCTGACCCAAGGTTTCCAGTGGTTTGCTGAATGGGTCAGACACCTTAATCAAGTCCCAGGCAGCAGAATTAGTTTGCAACCTAAAATGCTGCCTTACTTTTGACCTTTCAAATCACTGCCCTCTAAATCGCATCAAGTTCAGTACTTCAGTTTTGCTACTCTTGAAACTTGGAGAATGGAGGTGGGAGGTCCCCCTGGGCTTCTACTGTTTCTCTTCTCCCTCTTCCCCACTCCCTAGCTCTCATCCCCACTCCCTTGGGGGCTTCAGATTTCCACCCCATTTGGCCAAGACATCCTTAACTAAAAACCCTTGTTGGATTCAAGTTCTAACTTTTAACAGGGCTATAGGGATTTGTCTAGGCCAGGGCAACTCCTCAGATCTAGCAGCAATCACTTTGTTTATTGCTAATAAAGTAAAATTAAAATAATTAATAAAATTTAAATTTAAAAATAAAAAAAATAAAGCTCTTGAAAGTCCCAGAAAATTCCATAGAATGAAATACTGGAGCCGGGTGCCAGTGGCTCATGCCTGTAATCCTAGCTACTCAGGAGGCTGAGATCTGAGGATCACTGTTCAAGGACAGCCCGGGGAGGAAAGTCCGTGAAACTCTTATCTCCAATAAACCACCAGTAAACCGGAAGTGGCACTGTAGCTCAAGTGGTAGGGCACTAGCCTTGAGCTGAAGAGCGCAGGAACAGCGGTCAGGCCAGAGTTCAAGCCCCACGACCAAAAAAAAAAAAACCTGGAGTTTTAGTTGTTTAATTTCTGGGTGAAATTATTAAACAGGGGTCATATCACCTTCACTTTCCATTTAGGGGTGTATTTCTGGGCTAAGTCTGCCCAAGAGCCTGAGTTAGAAAATGCTTGAAGAGCTGGGTGCTGGTGGTTCATGCCTGTAATCCTAGCTATTCAGGTGGATGAGATCTGAGGATAAAGGTTTGAAGCCAACATGGGCAGGAAAGTCCATGAGACTCTTATCTTCCCCCAGAAAATTGGAAATAGCACTGTGGCTCAAAATGATAGTGTTTTTTGTTTTTGCCAGTCCTGGGGCTTGAACTCAGGGCCTGTACACTGTCCCTGAGCTTCTTTTGCTCAGGGCTAACATGCTACCTTACCACTTGAGCCACAATACCACTTCTGCCTTTTTCTGTTTATGTGGTACTGAGGAATTGAACCCAGGGCTTCATGAATGCAATCCAAGCAATCTACCACTAAGCCATGTTCCCAGCCCAAGAGCACTAGCTTTGAGAGATAAAGCTCAGCGATAGTGCCCAGGCCCTGAGTTCAAGCCCCATGACCAACCAAAAAAAAGAGGCGGGGGGAAGAAGGGCTAGTTAAATATCTCTAGACCATAGGGCCCTTAAATAAAGAGAATGGTCTTAATCTAAGTTTGTAACCCCCACCTGGGAACTTGGTATAGTACCCGGTGTAAATTCCAGAAGCTTTCATTACACATAGTCAATGCTTTAACAAAACTGAGGGCTTTACAACCACTACAACCATGTAATGAGAAAACATGATGTCTAAAAATACTGAAAGCTACCAAATAACATGCCAAGTGGGGAGACTATGACATGTTACCTAAGAGGTCTTGCACAAAATTTGGAGTCAAATAAATATAGGTTCAAACTCCAGCTCTAAAACTAGAAGGCTGTATGCCCACAGGCAAGTTATTTAGCCTCTGGGAGCTTCAGATTCTTCATCTGAAAAACAAGGGTAATATCTGTTTGATGGAGTTGCTGTAGAATGCAAAAATACCTACTCTAATACCTCAGGGCTGTGTTGCCATTTGCAAAACCAAGACTATTATTGGTCTTTTTTTTTTTTTTTTTTTTTTTTACCAGTTCTGGGGCTTGAACTGGGCCCTGTCCCTGAGCTTCTTTTTGCTCAAGGCTAGCACTCTACCACTTGAGCCACCCCGCCACTTCTGGCTTCTTGTGTGTATGTGGTACTGAGGAATCAAACCCAGGGCTTCATGCATGTTAGGCAAGTACTCTACCACTACGCCACATTTCCAGGCTATCATTGATCTTACAGGATGCTTTCATTTGAACATTTACACTTCAACCAATCTTAAGTACAGTAGTTTTTTTTTTTGTCAAATGTCATTTATTAGAAAATACAATTCGGAGAAAGTAGAAGATACAAAGGGTCTGGGAAGTGGGTACAGTACACAGACCTCTTTAAATTAAGGGACACAGAAGGTCAGAATCAAATGAGCTACAGGCCAAAGCCAGTAACACATCTATGGTCCAAACATCTGGGAAGGGTGCACTCTTTTCCTTCCCCTATTCTCCCAGGCCCCTCCTTTCAGCAGCCTGCTTTGTCCTTGGCATTTTTATTTTTATTTTCCAGTATGGGGAATCAAATCCAGGGCCTTGTCTATACTACTAAGCAAACACTCTACTACTTGAGCTATGTATGCTCCCATCCCTTTTGTTCTCTCATTTTTGAGCTAAGAGTCTCACTATATATTTCCCTTGGCTGGCCCAAAGCATTCCACCTTCTCCCTCCACCTAGTCTCAGGAGTAGCTGGGGCTGGGATTACTAGCATGCACCGCCCATATTCGGCTGCCATTTTCAGTTAAAGGAAAAAGTAAACTTCCTTGCTGCCCTTTGGCTTCAAGAGATAGAGCTTCTTCCTCCAGTAATGGAATGAGTCAGCAAAATGGGGGAATTTCTGACCCTTGCTTGGAGGAAGCTGTTGAGCTCTTCTCATTAACTCCTTTCCCGAGTCATGGGGCACATCTGGCCAAGTCAGGTTACAAAAATTATCATCAAATTCAAACTCTTCCTCCTCTTTTTTTTTTTTTTAAAGAATTCAACCCTTTGGATAGAAACACAAAATGAATTTCAAATTCACCTGATAGGGAATACAGACTAGGAAGAGTGAAGAGTTTAGTTCTTCCCTTCCAGGGCCTGAGCTCAGCCACAGAGAAACAATCCAGGCTCCTAATCCAATCTCCCCTCCCGGGGGGCCCCCCCCCAGATTTGGGAAGAGATTTGACAGCAAAACACTGCTGGAATCCTCCTGCTCCAGGACCCTCTCTGCTCTAGACCAGGCATCTCTTTGGCTCCAGGCTAAATTGGCTTCTGGCCCCACAGAATGAGGGAAATTCTTAGGGGGGGGGAAACATGGGACAGGAATAGAGTTTGGGGAGAGAAAAGCAGCACAACAGAAAGCGGTGGTGGGAGATATGGAACTTTCCAGAAACTATCAGCAGGCAGTCACACTGGCATCTGTTGCCTACAGGCCCTGGGTGAAACTAAATCTAAGGGTGGGGGTTAGCATTTTGTCCCACCAGAAAAAGCTAAGGGGGGGAAAACATCCCCCAGCGTACACCCATGGACCAGAAGGCCCCACAGGGGGCTGACAGACCCCAGGGGTGAGGGGAGAAGGTATTCAGGCCAAGTCCTAACAGAGCATTAGAAAGAGGAAACACTCCTCCCCTAAAGAGCATGGGTCCCTGAATACAGGTCCTTGGCAGAAGGCCCTTCCTTATATAGGTAGGTATCATGGCGCTCTCCTTTGGAGGCAAAATCAGAAGGGCCCAGTGGTAGGGGCTTCAGTCCAGTACAGGAAGCCCTTCCTGTCCCTCCGAAGCCTGCCCTAGAGAGGGAAGGATCCCCTGAGCCCCTCCCCGATAATTCCTATAGCTAGAAAACCAAAACCAAAATATCCTAGAGAAAAAGTCCATTAAGAACCTTCAATCATAGAAAACAACAAAAAGAAAAACCAAGTCCCAGTCTTCCTTGTTTGCCTTTGGAGGCATATGCATGTCCCTTCTTGCAAGGCTTCCTGTCCCACTTCGGGACAACATTACTATCTCATTTTTTAAAAATAAAAAATAAAGATATCCACCCTCCCCTCCCCCACAAAAGCTATTCCCACGCGCACACACACCCCACCACCGCCCCCAATCCAGGCATTGCTCCCTTGACACAAGGTAAACTTCTTATAAAACTCGGCTGCAACACCACGGCTTCCAAGGGGCTGTGCAGCACAACCCACCCGCGCTTCAGTCTGCGGTGGGAGGGGTGATGGAGGCAGCCGGACCAGCAGCCAGGCCCACGCGGACCAACAGGGAGGCTGTGCAGGGTCCCACCTCCTCTTGAAGACTAGAACAGCCCAGCAGGGAAGTCTTCTCCCCTAGCTCTTGAGGTTCTGGGCTGTAGCTCTGTTGGGCTCACAAGGTCCCATGACTTCGAGACCCCAAGGCAAACCAGCTGGTCTTCTCCTGGGTCAGGTCCAGCTCGCGCAGGCGAATATGCACCTCTCCCAGAAGCACATTTTCCCAGAATCCTTGCTCGCTCAGCACGCTCAGCTGGAGCTGGCGCTGCTGCAGGTCACCCTTGGGGATGCCATCGTACACCAACTGCAAACAGTGGGAAGAGGGGCAAGTGGTGAGAGAGGCGGCTCCACTGGCTCATGCCTATGATCCCACCTACTCAGGAGGCTGAGATCTGAGGACCAGGGTTTGAAAAGTCCCCCTGAGACCCGTACCTCCCATTAATCACCAGAAACCTGGGAGAGGAGCCGTGGCTCAAAGTGTGGTAGAAGCTCTAGCCTTGAGTAAAAGAGCTCAGGGGCAGTGCCCAGACCGGAAGTCAAACTCCGCTCCCCCCCCAAAAAAAATAGTCCCCAGGGAACACAGAAAGCAGTGGGGAGGGGAGAGGTTCAAGTTCCTGGCAGAGTTGGCTGAGGCCAAGATCATTTTATCTTGCCAGCCCTGCAGAGTCCAAGGGAGTACAGAAGGCACCAGGAACCCAAGGGAGAATCCAGAGAACTTTGTTCTCTGCTCAGAGTTCAAGCAGGTAAGTGCTGGCTGTGCGTGCGAGTGTGTGTTCACTTGTACTTTTGCTTATTAATTGGTGATGAGTCCTTTGGATTTATCTGACTGGGGCTGGCTCCACCCCATGATCCTCAGATCTCAGCCACCTGGGTGGCTAGGTTTATACACAGGAGCCCCCAGAGCACCAAGCAGAACAAAAGGTTTGTGTTTTTTTTTTTACTGGGGCCTCTGTTCATATTCATCCCAGGACCCTAGGAGTCAGAATGCTTTTTGCTTAGATTGGAAGTATAGGAATATATGCTCACACTTGCCATTGCAACGTGAAAGTAGCCACAGTCTCTAAGTTAGCAGGCGTGGAATTCTTGTATGATTTGATTGAGAAGCGCAGGCACAGGCTGGGAAGGTGGCTCACTGGTAGAGCGCTTGCCTCACCTGCATGAGGCCCTGGGTTCCATTTGTCAGAACCACATAAATAGAAAAAGCCAGAAGTGGCAGGGTGGTTGAAGTGCTAGAGCATTAGCCTTGAGCTGAAGAGCTGAGGGACAGTGCTCAGGGCCAGAGTTCAAGCTCCACGACTGACCAAAAAAAAAAAAAGAAGAAGAAGAAGAGCAGGCACTACCGCCTTACCTCCCCCCCCGCCCCCCCCCGCCGCTGCACCCCTACACACCATCTCATTGTAGGTGGGGTTGCAGGTCTTCCGGGCCACTTTGGTTTTCCTCTTCGTGGTTTTCTGAGGGTCAGGAAGGAGATAAATTTTCACATAGGGGTCAGGGTCATTTCCGTCCTGGAGCAGTTGCTGTAACAGAATGAAAGCAAAATATAAAGATTCTTGTAAAGCTGGGCACTGGTGGCTTGTGCCTGTAATCGTAACTACTCAGGAGGCTGAGATCTGAGGATCACAGTTGAAAGCCAGCCTGGGCAAGCAAGTCCGTGAGACTCTTCAATTAACCACCAGAAAACCAGAAGTGATGCTGTAGCTCAAGTGGTAGAGTGCTTGCCTTGAGTTGAAGAGCACAGGGACAGTGCCCAGGCCTAGAGTTCAAGCCCCAGACCCCCCTTGCCCCCCTCCCCCACCACACAAAAGATTCTTGTAAAAGCTGGGTGCAGGTGGCTCATGTCTGTAATCTTAGCTTATTCAGGAGGCTGAGATCTGAGGATCGCAGTTTGAAGCCAGCTCATGCAGGAAAGTCTTGAGACTGTTATGCCTAATAAATCAACAAAAAGTTGGAAGTGGAGCTGTGGCTCAAGTGATAGAGCACTAACCTTGAGCAAAAAAGCTCCAAAAAAAATTTTTTTAATGCCCTTCCTAGGGCTTGAATTCAGGGCCTGTGTACTGTCCCTGAGCTTCTTTTGCTAAGATTTTTATAGTGTCTCTTTCTTACCATTACATTTCCTCTCCATTTTTCTGTTTCCCAGCTCAGTCCATGTAGATAAAAAATATCTATCAATATCATGAATTACATTAATGCTATACTTTCTATATAAATGCCCAGGGCATTCCATAATGTGGTCTGTTTTGAGTGGCTCATTGTGAGAGCCCTCCTGTCCCAGACATCCTGCACTTTTGTCATTTGGTCCATCTAACCTCTACGAGGTGGAGACAGAAATCAGAGACTAAGTTGCTTGCTCAAGGTCAGCCAACTACTGATTCATGTAGCTGATTTTTTTTAATGTCCTGGGCCCAACCCAGAGCCTTGAACATACTACGTCTGCTCTACCCATAAGCTACACCCTGGATCCCTGGCTTAATCCTTTTAAAAGCTAAGTCAGAGCTGGTCGCTATGCCAGCATATGTCTTTAATCCTGACTACTTGGGATGCTGAAAGATCCTCAGGGATGGAGGTTCAAAACCAGCCTGGGCAAGAAAACCCATGAGAATCTTATCTCCAATAAACTAAGCCAGAAGTGGAGCTAAAGTGGCTCAGGTGGCAGAGTGCTAACTTTGAGCAAAAGAAGTTCAGGGGTAGCACCTAGACCTTGAGTTCAAGCCCCAGGACAAGCACACACACACAAAACAAAGTTAAGTCAGATCATATATCTCCCTAAAGCCTTCCAACAATTCCCATCTCATTCAGGGAAGGAGCCAGAGACCTCATTGTAGTCTGGGCTGTGTACCACCATACCCTCTCTGACCTCACCTTCTGCTGCTCCTTTGCCCTTTGCCCCTTCAGCGCCAGCCACTGGGCTTTTGTAGTCCTGACACACTGCCTGATAGAGGCAGGCTTGTATCTCCAGAGCTTTTGGGTCTATCTGCTCCCCTGCCTGGGAAGACCTCTCTCAGTATAGTCATAACGTACATAGTTCCCTCCTCACCTCTTCCCTCTTTGCTTCTCATCACTGAGACCTGACCACTCTAGGCAAACTCCTTTCCTCATTCTGCCCAAGATTCCTTCTTTGCTTTATTATTTCTTGCCTAGCTCCTACCACACCTTACATGCCATATAGTTCACTAGTCTACTTGTCTATCCGCCTTTTCTAACTAGAATGTAAGTTCTTTGAACACAGGATTGGTTTTATTTTCTCCCATATCCACAGCTCAGTGCCTGGCATATAGTAGGTATGAGATGAACATGTGAGAATGAAAGAATGAACCCAGTCTGCTCCAAAGCTCCCTGCTCTTCCCGGTCTTCAACGCCGTCACCTACACAAAATGCCAACATGGAGTGCAATCCACGCTGAAAATACAGTAAAAGTCTCCCTCCCTTTCTATTCAGAACCTGTACCACAAATTTCCTAACCTGATTGTCCTTGAAAGACATCAAGTGGTTGCCTTACTGCCACCATCAGGCATCTTTCACAATTATCATAACAACAATAATCGGAAAAGTGAACTGGGTGAAGATGACTCAGGCCTAAAATCCTAGCAACTCAGGAGGCTGAGATCTGAGGACTGTGGTTCAAAGCCAGCTTGGGCAGGAAAGTCTTTGAGACTCTGAACTCCAAGTAACCACCAAGGAGCCAGAAGTGGCGCTCAAGTGGTAGAGCACCAAAGCAAGCCAACCAAGAGCACAAAGCCCTGAGTTCAAGCCTCAGGACTGGCAATAAATAGTCAAATCGGAAAGGTAAGTGGTCTCTGGCATTGTTATCTCATTTAATCCACATAGCCACGCCAGGAGGTTGGTGCTCACATTACCTCGGGAGAGTGAGGCCAGATACCAGTGAGCCAGCAGCTGTACCTTGAATTGTTTGGTCAGCTGCCGGCCTGGCACAAACAGGCCCATAGAGCAGGCTCAGTAAACCTTTGTGGTTATTTGCATGACAGAGGACAGAGAAGGACTGATCAGCCCAAAGCATACAATAAAGAACCCAATGAGGGCCGTGCAGCACTTACCAAGCCCCGAATGTGCATCACCATGATGAAGAGTTTATTATTTTTGTAGGAGATGGACAGCTTCACCTCCCCTCCCACCTTCCCCACAGGCCGGGCCCATGTGCCATCTGTTAGGGACAAAAGAAATGGAGAAAGGTCAACAGACCAACCATGCCCTGACTGGCACGTAGGAAGTGTTTCTGTTTCCTTTCTGACCACCATCCTAACTCCTGAATGTCAGGTTCTGATCCTCACTGCAAATAGCAGTAAGTGGGGTCTGGAACCAGGTTTAGAGGTGGGTCAGGATGGGTTTATCCCATCTGTGAGTACAAATCACTAACAGTATATCCACCCTCTGGGGAACCCAGCCCGGGGACCTGGGGATCCATAGTCTGAGTGGGAAACCAGATTCCCCAGTAAGTAAGAAAGGGACAGGATACAAGTCAAAGAAAAGAGAACTGGGAGCCGGGTGCCGGTGGCTCATGCCTATAATCCTAGCTACTCAGGAGGCTGAGATCTGAGGATC